GAAATGCCTCCTTATTAGGTCCGTGTAGAGATATACCTCCTTATAAGGTCAATGTAGAAAAATGCCTCCTTATTAGGTCGATGTAGAGAAATGCCTCCTTATTAGGTCCATGTAGAGAAATACCTCCTTATTAGGTCCATGTAGAGAAATACCTCCTTAGTAGGTCCATGTAGAAAAATGCCTCCTTATTAGGTACATGTAGAAAAATGCCTCCTTATTAGGTCCATGTAGAGAAATGCCTCCTTATTAGGTCCATGTAGAAAAATGCCTCCTTATTAGGTCCATGTAGAGATATACCTCCTTATTAGGTCCATGTAGAGAAATGCCTCCTTATTTGGTCCATGTAGAGAAATGCCTCCTTATTAGGTCCATGTAGAGAAATGCCTCCTTATTAGGTCCATGTAGAGAAATGCCTCCTTATTAGGTCCATGTAGAGAAATGCCTCCTTATTAGGTCCATGTAGAGAAATGCCTCCTTATTAGGTCCATGTAGAGATATACCTCCTCATTAGGTCCATGTAGAGAAATGCCTCCTTATTAGGTCCATGTAGAGAAATGCCTCCTTATTAGGTCCATGTAGAGAAATGCTTCCTTATTAGGTCCATGTAGAGATATACCTCCTCATTAGGTCCATGTAGAGAAATGCCTCTTTATTAGGTCCATGTAGAGAAATACCTCCTTATTAGGTCCATGTAGAGAAATACCTCCTTATTAGGTCCATGTAGAGAAATGCCTCCTTATTAGGTCCGTGTAGAGATATACTTCCTTATTTGGTCCGTGTAGAAAAATGCCTCCTTATTAGGTCAATGTAGAGAAATGCCTCCTTATTAGGTCCATGTAGAAAAATGCCTCCTTATTAGGTCCATGTAGAGATATACCTCCTTATTAGGTCCATGTAGAGAAATGCCTCCTTATTTGGTCCATGTAGAGAAATGCCTCCTGATTAGGTCCATGTAGAGAAATGCCTCCTTATTTGGTCCATGTAGAGAAATACCCCCTTATTATGTCCATGTAGAGAAATGCCTCCTTATTATGTCCATGTAGATAAATGCCTCCTTATCAGGTCCATGTAGAGATATACCTCCTTATTAGGTCCATGTAGAGAAATACCTCCTTATTAGGTCCATGTAGAGAAATACCTCCTTATTAGGTCCATGTAGAGAAGTACCTCCTTATTAGGTCCATGTAGAGAAATACCTCCTTATTAGGTTCATGTAGAGAAATACTCCCTTATTAGGTCCATGTAGAGAAATGCCTCATTATTAGGTCCATGTAGAGAAATACCCACTTATTAGGTCCATGTAGAGAACTGCCTCCTTATTATGTCCATGAAGAGAAATACCCCCTTATTAGGTCCATGTAGAGAAATGCCTCATTATTAGGTCCATGTAGAGAAATGCCTCCTTATTTGGTCCATGTAGAGAAATACCCCCTTATTATGTCCATGTAGAGAAATGCCTCCTTATTATGTCCATGTAGATAAATGCCTCCTTATTAGGTCCATGTAGAGATATACCTCCTTATTAGGTCCATGTAGAGAAATACCTCCTTATTAGGTCCATGTAGAGAAGTACCTCCTTATTAGGTCCATGTAGAGAAATACCTCCTTATTAGGTCCATGTAGAGAAATACCCCCTTATTAGGTCCATGTAGAGAAATGCCTCATTATTAGGTCCATGTCGAGAAATACCTCCTTATTAGGTCCATGTAGAGAACTGCCTCCTTATTGTGTCCATGAAGAGAAATACCCCCTTATTGGGTCCATGTAGAGAAATGCCTCATTATTAGGTCCATGTAGAGAAATACCTCCTTATTAGGTCCATGTAGAGAAATGCCTCCTTATTATGTCCATGTAGAGAAATACCCCCTTATTAGGTCCACGTAGAGAAATGCCTCCTTATTAGGTCCGTGTAGAGAAATACCTCCTTATTAGGTCCATGTAGAGAACTGCCTCCTTATTATGTCCATGAAGAGAAATACCCCCTTATTAGGTCCATGTAGAGAAATGCCTCATTATTGAGGTCCATGTAGAGAAATACCTCCTTATTAGGTCCATGTAGAGAAATGCCTCCTTATTATGTCCATGTAGAGATATACCTCCTTATTAGGTCCATGTAGAGAAATACCTCCTTATTAGGTCCATGTAGAGAAATACCTCCTTATTAGGTCCATGTAGAGAAGTACCTCCTTATTAGGTCCATGTAGAGAAATACCTCCTTATTAGGTCCATGTAGAGAAATACCCCCTTATTAGGTCCATGTAGAGAAATGCCTCATTATTAGGTCCATGTAGAGAAATACCTCCTTATTAGGTCCATGTAGAGAACTGCCTCCTTATTATGTCCATGAAGAGAAATACCCCCTTATTAGGTCCATGTAGAGAAATGCCTCATTATTAGGTCCATGTAGAGAAATACCTCCTTATTAGGTCCATGTAGAGAAATGCCTCCTTATTAGGTCCGTGTAGAGAAATGCCTCCTTATTAGGTCCGTGTAGAGAAATGCCTCCTTATTAGGTCCATGTGGAGAAATACATGTTTTATGAGGTCCATGTTTAGAACTACCTCCTCTTTCGGTCCATGTAGAGATATACCTCCTTATGTAGGTCCGTTTAAACAAATACCTCCTTTTTAGGCCCATGTAGAAAAAAATCCTTTTTACTAGGTCCACGTAGAGAAATGCTACCTTGTGTAAGTCTATTCAGAGACGAGCCTCCTTGTGTAGATCTTTTTAGAGAAGTGCCTACGTGTGTAGATCTGTTTAGGGCAGTGCCCGATTGTGTAGGTTCCTGGAGGAAGGTGTCACGTTGTGTAGGTTCTTGTAGAGAAGAGCTACCTTGGGTAGGACCGTGTAGAGACGTACCTTATTGTGTAGATCTATTTACAGAAGTGCCTTCGTGTGAAGATCTATTTATAGAAGTGCCTACGTGTGTAGATTTATTTATAAAAGTTCCTTATTGTGTATATCTATTTACAAAAGTGCCTCCGTGTGAAGATCTATTTATAGAAGTGCTTTATTGTGTAGGTTCCTGGAGGAAAGCGTCACGTTGTCTAGGTCCTTGTTAAGAAGAGCTACCTTGTGTAGGTCCGTGTAGATACGTGCCTTATTATGTAGATCTATTTACAGAAGTGCCTCTGTGTGTAAATCTATTGATAGAAGTGCCTTATTGTGTAGGTTCCTGGAGGAAAGTGTCACGTTGTGTAGGTCCTTGTAAAGAAGAGCTACCTTGTGTAGGTCCGTGTAGAGACGTGCCTTATTGTGTAGGTTCCCGGAGGAAAGTGCCACGTTGAGTAGGTCCTTGTAGAGAAGAGCTACCTTGGGTAGGTCCACTACAGAAGTGTCTCCTGGGTGCCAACTGCTACCTTGGGTATCTCTATGAAGAGAAGTGATTCCTTGTGTAGGTCCTGGGTGCCAACTGCTACCTTGGGCATCTCTATGAAGAGAAGTGATTCCTCGTGTAGGTTCGTTCAGGGAAGTGCTATCTTTTCTTATTCCGTGGAGGGAAGAGCACGCTTGTTTAGCTTCATGTAGAGAGGTGCTAGGCATTATGCTGACCAATGAAGATGCCTTGAAAGAGTACGGAATTGTGCTTTGCATGATGGTACTGCTCTGCGCATTGTTAAGGAGGCAGGTATTAACACCCACACTTATGTTTTTAGTCATCGGTTTTATAATGTGCGTCTTGTAAATAATCGAGGGTGAGCAAACGACAAACATGTAATTAGTCACTTGAGCAATGGCACCGCGTGGGTACGCTGACATTCAATCAGACATGCCTAACCACCAAACACAACTTTTGTCTCATGACAAGGTTGTGACCCAACTCTAAACCCGGATCCCAAGGGGTAGAAGAGAAAACACCTGTCAGATCCACATGCAAAAACATACACGTTGTAGTATACATTTGGTATTAAAGTATAAATTCATATTGATCCTTTAACCACATACAGTAGTCATGAAGAGTTCAAATTACATACATACTCACTGTTGTTTAAGTGAGTGAGTGAGTTACGCTTGATAGTCACTTCGGCAATATTTCAGCCATATCGTAACTAAAGAAATTTATGCGTTATGAAAACATCAATTTAGACTATGTAAAAATCTGTCAGCAAAGGACAGTAAAATTATCAGACGTATCAAAGATATATATTTTTTAAAACTCGTATGTATTAAAAAATAATACTATATAGAACAATACATTGTAAAAACGGGCTATAGATCGCCAGCAAATGAAGGTAGATCACCATACTAGGGGCCATTGGGACTAACAGTACTTAGGCTTCCTGCATGGACCCCAGCAGGTTTTACATCATCCCTTCAGTCGCTGGCGATTCTACAATATTGTAGCCACAATTTAAATGACAAATATGCTACGTTTGTTGTTTAAGTTTATTTGCAATAAAGAAAGAGAAGACAGGGTATTGCAGTCATGACATACAACCGGCATTTAAACTGGCATATATCTTGTTGTAAGTAGGGTCAGGAACAACGACAACCTGTACACTCACGTGGCCGAGTTGTCGACTCATCCACAAAGTCAGTCAGAAAAACCGATCTTTTCATAATTCAATAATCAGTGTTGTAAACTAACTTAAATGTAGCTGGGCAATCTCGGGAGCGTAAACACGTACTTACTTTTATCTCAAAACAAGAAGTGTTTTACCCGCTAAAACGTTATTGATTACATCATCTGATTCATTGTTTATTTCTTGACGACACAAAAGGATATATCTCACGTGGTCGACGCTGTAGAATTCACTCAAAAATATCGTTCAGGAGAATCATTCTGGTCGATTTATGATGACCGAAAGTAAGATATTTTTGTTATTTTATAATGATTTATTGATACCACATCCAGAACCTATCGTTGTGGCTATATAGGGCCAGTGTATATTTCATAATGTAATTGTGATGCAAACCACTGCTGCCAAAATACCAACCCATGATGACAAATGGTGTTCTGACATTTTAGTTGAACAATTAGTTTGAAAACTGCACTGACATCTAACTGTCTCACGCTCTAGCCATTTAAATTCAATTAACTAAATGTCACAGTTGGCCATGGTGTAATAATATATGCATCGATGTGATGACACATTTGGCTATAGGCATCAGGGACATATTGGTGACAATGAAACAATTGCCACCATAACACATCTCAAATTTGATAAGGAAATCGACAGCTAGTTGCTTTAAAATTCAACACATTCCCTTCCCGATGCTGAATTCATGGAGGGCATTGAATCCATCAAGCTCGATACGTCGGACACCGCTGAGAGGAAAGCGTATTGGGTTAGTCATCCACAAAGTTCCATCGACGTACGTCTGGAAAATATAGTATTAGATAATCTAGGGAAGCATACATTGAAAACATGGTTCGTTAGTGACATAATCTGGTAAGTTCTACCAATTCCTAAATAAGGTATATTTCAATACCTAACACACGACATGTGTAGATCAACAGGTAACACTAATTGTTGGACCGGCATTCTCGGAGTTATTGAGTAAGTAAGAAAACATACAACTTTATGGATAACAACTTCTGGTTTATAGCATATAGTGGCATATCGATGAAGATTCTTATACCGATATCAGCAGCTAAGACGTGTAAGGATATTTTATTAATATTTAACACACTCAAACTTCCTTCTCCTCAGTGACACATGACAAACCTACCAGGAAAGACGTCTCTGTTATGGATATCTCAATCACATAGTTGTCGGAAGTGTTTGGGGCAAAGTCGGTCCGAAACTCAGCACCCCATGCGTTTCCTTGACGAGTGTTGAAGATAATTTTAAAGAGTCCAACGTTGGGAAAGTCCCACCTCAACGACAACAGATAGATGACGTCTTGATTAGGAAGCATCAGCCACACGTGGTTGCTGCAGTGTAAGGATATTCCCTTGTAAACTTGGGAGCGGTGGTGAACATTGGTTCAGTGTGAGGATATTTATTATAAGCTTGGGAGTGGTTACGAACATTGGACAGTGTAAGGATATTCAGCTATGCTATGGAGTAGAGCAAACATGGGTTCAGTGTAAGGCTATTCACTTGTTAGCTGGGGAGTGTTTGCGGATATTGGTGCAGTGTGAAGATATTTACTTGTAAACTGGGGAATGGCTGCGGAGTGTCAGGCTATTCAGTTATTCTGGGGAGTGGTGGTGGAGGGTGGTGCAGTCTAAGGGTATTCAGTTATTCTGGGGAGTGGTGGTGGAGGGTGGTGCAGTTTAAGGTCATTCAGTTATTCTGGGGAGTGGTGATGGAGTGTGGTGCAGTTTTAGGGTATTCAGTTATTCTGGGGAGTAGTGGTGGAGTGTGGTGCAGTTTTAGGGTATTCAGTTATTCTGGGGAGTGGTGATGGAGGGTGGTGCAATGTAAGGTTATTCAGTTATTCTGGGGAGTGGTGGTGGAGTGTGGTGCAGTTTTAGGGTATTCAGTTATTCTGGGGAGTGGTGGTGGAGTGTGGTGCAGTTTTAGGGTATTCAGTTATTCTGGGGAGTGGTGGTGGAGGGTGGTGCAGTCTAAGGTTATTCAGTTATTCTGGGGAGTGGTGGTGGAGGGTGGTGCAGTTTTAGGGTATTCAGTTATTCTGGGGAGTGGTGGTGGAGGGTGGTGCAGTCTAAGGTTATTCAGTTATTCTGGGGAGTGGTGGTGGAGGGTGGTGCAGTCTAAGGCTATTCAGTTATTCTGGGGAGTGGTGGTGGAGGGTGGTGCAGTCTAACGGTATTCAGTTATTCTGGGGAGTGGTGGTGGAGGGTGGTGCAGTCTAAGGTCATTCAGCTATTCTTGGGAGTGGTGGTGGAGGGTGGTGCAGTCTAAGGGTATTCAGCTATTCTGGGGAGTGGTGGTGGAGGTTGGTGCAGTTTAAGGGTATTCAGCTATTCTGGGGAGTGGTGGTGGAGGGTGGTGCAGTCTAAGGCTATTCAGCTATTCTGGGGAGTGGTGGTGGAGGGTGATGCTGTCTAACGCTATTCAGCCAAAGGTATTACAAAGCGTCAACGGCGTCAGATCGCAGAAATGTTGTCAACTGGACACGTGCAAAAACTCACAGGGTAAGAGAAATATTTCACTGATGCACTCACGTACAATATTGTTTCACTTCCTGATACATTGAGCTTCAGAGTCATTCCAACGTCGAGATCAAAGTCCAGATCCTCCGAGTAGGATGCCGCTGGATCCTGAGTTCAAAAGATAATTATTATTGCCGTTATAGTGACATTATCACATACACTAAATAATTTGTGGGTCAAATTGTACTTTGTCAATCGAAATGAAAAAAAATATCACAATGAGTATTTGATATGATGAGGATGAAGGACAACAACGACGACGACGACTGTGACGATTATGGTGAGTATTTCATATTTTCCGAACATAAAATAATCCATAATAAGCTTTTATCTTATTAACCATGGTAATGCTACCCTTGTTATTTTTTATCCTAAACAGTTGACATAGCGACTATGTCAAGAATGGTAAGTAACCCTACTATGCTAGAAATGAAATATGATCAACCAGTAATAGTCAAACCCTTCATCAAGGGATTTGTAAGAATGTCAACTTTATCATATCTTACCATGGACGGACGGGCAGCAAGACTATAACATGGAAGACACTTTATTTTCAATGTTTTCCAGGATGCTCCTCTAAAACAGGAAGAGGAGTTGTCAGACGCTGAATAGTAGCTGCTGTTGCACATCTCCGTTGGGTCTGTGTCGATAACGTCCACGCCCTCCCGGCTATTTGCCAATCTGTAGCCATCGCAGGCAGCTGTGGGGGAAGAGCAGAACTTCGAGCTTCTGATGTAAGTGTATAGCAACTATACGTTATGTGTAATCAACATCTATCACTATTTGTGTTACTGTTGCCTCACCACATGCCAGTAGGCTCCCTTAGTGCACTGAACAGGGGAGGCTAGTGGTATTATGTAGCTACATCATTTCTTTCTCTGTCTCGGATCATTTCTATTGGATCTTTTTTCATGATGTTAAGGTTGTCTATGTGTGACATGACCTTGAATTTCATTTGTCACATCAGCGTTGTTGTACAAAAATCAAAACCTTGACTGATTTGTGCTACTTTTGAAGCTTCATTGACGCAGCTCAAAATACTTGATCTTCATCAAGACTTGAGTAAAGCATGATCACAATGAGAGGCCTTACATAACACCCACAGCTGTGACATCAGGACAGATCGTTACACACAGTGAGGAGTGTTTTTGCTATACTCATATCTATTTTCAAAGTTAATGATTTTAAATGTGCAGCCAAATTAGTTTGAATATTTTTTGCTTAGGTACATCGAGTACATCTTGCTTTTGACATCGAAAATTGTCTTTTTTAGAATGGGTTTTGACAGCACCTTTTCCGATTTTTACTTTGTGAAGGGAAACGTGAAACGACGTATTCTTCACGTTATGCTTCATATCCTGCATGACTATATGTAATGAGTGAGTGCGTTGGGTTTAACGCCGCTTTTAACAATATTCCAGTTATATCGCGGCGTGTCAACTTAATGTGGGGGGAAAGCCCGAAGTGATGCAGGTCTCAGACGTTTAGCACTTCGTTGAAACCCACGAGCACGGGTATGGTGCTGACAAACCTAGAAACATAATCGGGCTGAACCGGGACAATATGTGGAAAACACAAGCGACAAAACAGTTTCTATAGTCACAAGAAATTAATGGTACGATTCCGACTATATCATTATCAAGTGTTTGTGAATCACGATCAAATAGTAATGATCCCACGTGTACCGGATAAATAAAGGTGCCATGTTGATTAAGGCAATGTCAGAATATGGCAAATTGTATTTACAAGTATCAAAATAGCAGTACTATTACAGATATTACAATTGTAGCATACAAATAGTTGGTACATGTTCTGAGTTTTGTAATCGAGGCATGTGTTGACCTTTCTCGAACGTACGTTCAGAATACCTGCTTGTATTTGCTTGTTTCGAAAGGTGCTTTGTGACCTCTTCATTAGCATTTATAGGTAGACTTACTGAAGACTGTTGGTGAAGTTTCACCTATTTATTGATATCCCATTGTGAAAGAACAAAAATGAAACAATGAATGCAGCATTTGAACTGTAATACGGTTTACATGGCCCAATTCTCAGTTTTCTTTTTGTACAATCGGTAGATTAATAAAAGTGAGAAGAAACCTTTAATATTCAAAGGAGTGAGTGAGTATGGTTTTACGCCGCTTTTAGCAATATTCCAGCAATATCACGGCGGGGGACACCAGAAATGGGCTAATATTCAAGGAAACATCACATTTGTCAATTAAATAGACGACCACAAATACTCCCGTCAGAAGCACATGATAAGGCAATCATTTGTTCATCCTGTTTTCAGAACGAAATGTCATTTCACCTCTATCTCAACCCAGTTAATACTTTCCTCGACCTGCACGCATCAACTGGTGCCCTGTTAAAAATGTCAACTAACTATACTGAGTTAAATTAAAAACTTCACATTTTTTAAAAGTAATCCCATATATGATATACAACGGACAAATGTATTAGAGAAGGTAATTTTTAATCATTACTGTCCAAAGAAGGATTTTGATTACCGGTGGTAACCATAATTTGTTCCAAGCACCTAATAACATTAACAGTTTAAATCATAAGTCCCAAGCACGAGAATCTGATGGCACACAAGTTCAGTAGCGTGTATGGCCACCATGTGCGTTGACAACTGCCACACTACGCCTCCGCATGGACCTTGTGATGCTTGTGAACACATGATTGGGAAGACGACGCCACTGTTGCTGCAAAATGGTGCCAAGTTCGTGCAAATTCTGTGGTTTGTTCTGGAGAGAGCGCAGACTTCTGCCATGTGCTGCCATAAAAGGCAGAAGTTCTGGTGCCAGGACCTGGTCGCGGTGAGCAGCGTTGACGTGGCCACGGATGACAAGAAGCCTAGAACGTGCATTGCCACAGAAAGCACCCCACACCATGACACTTGGGCCTCGAAATCTGTCAATTTCCTGTACAGAACACTGGGCGTAACGTTCATGACGGCGCCTCCACACCCTCGCCCTACCATCAGCAAATCGAAGATTAAATCGGGATTCATCACTGAAGACGACTTGATTCCAATTCCTCTGAGTCCATTGTAAGTATTGCTGTGCCCACAATTGACGTTGACGTCTTTGTAATTGAGTCAGAATCGGCCCGGAGTATGGCCATCGTGCTTTAAGGTGAGCAGTTGACAGACTGTTCGAACAGTTTGCGCACTCAGTCGTCCCCTAAACAGTTCTTTTCTGGTTGATGTAGCCGTCAAAAACCGGTAACGGAGGTGACGTAAGACAATCTGACGATACTCTGCATGTGACGTCACACGTGGTCGACCTGGCCGAGGGCGATCAGCGGTGGTACCCTTTTGCTGTAGACGCGTCTGTAAATCATAAACAGTCCGTCGACTACAACCCATCGTCCTTGCGACTTCAGCTACGGACTTTCCCGTCTGCAACATGCCGATGGCACGTTCACGTTGTACATTTGAAAGGCGTGGCATGACAAATGGCCCTAAAGACTTTCGTTTTCTTCTGTTTTTTCTTTTTTTGATAATGACTGCTAACAAGTTTGGCTGAAAACACGTGCGGTATTATGGCCACGTGACCAGTTGCACGTGGAAAACCACTATTGCCAGTATAGTGCTGTGCACATGATTTTGATCGATTCATCTGCACAAAAACGGGTGTTATCTGAAGACAATACATGGCCATTACTGTTTAAATACACAATAAGGACCCACAATAATAACTGGTCGAAATGTTAAAATTTTAGGATTGTGAAGGTTTTAATTTGGTTCAGTATATTTCGTGATTATGATTGTTTGAATGATATATTTCATAGTTTTTGTTGGATGAAAAGTAAGTGCAGCACAGTTTTTCCACACAGCCTTCAACCATCAACTTGGTCGCTATCTCCATGAACAGGTCAGAATTTGTTATGATGAGACAACCAAATTGCTCTTGAAGCCAAGAGTGAAAGCCAAACATATGGATGTATTCTTGTTCTGAGATTAGATTGCAATCTCATATTTTGTCCTTCAGACTAACTGTCAAGTCAGCCTATGCCATCTTTTTTTTGTCTAGCAAACCTGCTTTTGGTTGTTTAAACCAATGACGGTACAACAATTTGTTCAAATCCTGTTTTCAAAATGGTAACCACGACAGGCTTGTTCTAAAACTGTGTTCAGCCATTTATTTTCAAAACAGAATGAAAATTGTTGCACATGGAGTTATAAGTGGTGATCAGTGCCTTTTGCGGTATTTCATTTTTTCTCTATTAATTGACCTTTACGCATTGGTCATGCTTCTAAATTATATTCAAACAATTTCCTCACAATATAACATTCTTGCCACATAAGCCACAAGGCTGGTGTAGCTGACATTTCACAAAAACAGGATCCTCACTCAAAACAATAATCCTGGTTGTGCGTTGTTTAAGCTACCGCAATACATTAGAGGTCATTTATGTAATTACAAACGAATCAAGATGCGACATAACATTGCATTATATTCATTTCATTCTACAAATCAGAAGTAAATATAATATATGTAAAATATGGAAAATCTATGAACTTTTGACATGTAAATGTTAATGTATTTTCTAGCAATTGGACATCTTATGAAAAACAAATGCCGCCAGACGCTGCTGCCACGCGTCAATCCAGTAATCTGCATTCTGTGATTGAATCAAAATCATCAAAACTTGTTCTCAAATTAACAAACTCCGTACAGGCATGTGAAAAAAGACCTCTGGTGCAACATAGTCAATGACACCCTATTATGAAAGTAACCTACTCTTCATATCAATAAATAGAAGCTACAAAACAAACCTCTTGTGCAACATAGTCATTGCCACAAGTGACACACTATTGTGTAAATAACCTACTCTTCATTTCAATAATTTGAAGCTACAAAACAAACATCTTGTGCAACATAGTCATTGCCACAAATGACACACTACTGTGTAAATAACCTACTCTTCATATCAATAAATAGAAGCTACAAAACAAACCTCTTGTGCAACATAGTCATTGCCACAAATGACACACTACTGTGTAAATAACCTACTCTTCATATCAATAAATAGAATCTACAAAACAAACCTCTTGTGCAACATAGTCATTGCCACCAATGACAAACTATCAATAAATAGTAGCTACAAAACCTTCGATTGCCAACTCCAGTTACACAATATAATTTAGTCATCAATATCCGACTATATCAAAATCGTGTCAATGGTTTCTGATTAATATATTTTGAGATAAATATATGTATGTAGCAAGGCATTTATTGGTATAGTTATGATGAGGAGTAAAGGGACCTCAGGGGTACCAGGATACAATTGTGGTGTCACTTCATAATAAAGACGTTTGACGTCAACTCACTCCCGTAAAAAAGCGGGTTCAGAGGATACACAAATCTCTTTTTCTCTCTAGATCGTTCGTTCTATAATACAAACATTATTTCAAAACAGTTCAGCATTCATGCCTACTTTCAATTAACCAGTCACTAATATCTAAAACCTGCAATCATTTCATAAACGGTTATGCATCTTGACAGACTTTTCAGAAAATGAGTTCTTATGTTTATTGTCATGTATCACCTTAATAAATATGAATTAAAGCTTACAAATTGCATTTTTGCGGTCCTAAGATACTGTAGTTTTAAAATATTAAAAGAAGTCAAAAGGTGATGTTTTGCCAAAAAGGGTCATTATCTCATGGCTTGTCACAAATATAATCTTTAAAAAAAGAATCGAAAAACGGATATGTTTTGCCATAAAAGCAAAATCAGGGGACCAAGATCTAGAGGTGCAAAATGAAGAGGTTAAATGTGTTATAGTGGCATCAAAATGATCACAACAAGTACATGCAAACCATTAGTCGGGAAACCCGTACGATTCGAAAAAAACTCAACCAGTTCATTAGCAAGAGGGCCATGGAGATGCGCGTGCTGCCCGTGCAGCCACACTATGAGCGGGTTTAAAGTGCAAGGTTTTTGATTGCCTGGCATCTGCTGCAATCGAACAGTGACAGTTCAACAACATGCCAAGGTTAACAGAAGTGCAAAGAAACAACGTCATAGGCCGCTTGCAGAATAGGCCGCTTGGGGAATCGCGGTCAGCTGTAGCCAGGCTTTTCAATGTAGCGCCCAACACCATCGCAAGGCTTTGGGATCGGTTTCAACAGCATTGGGCATCGAGTGATCCGCCAAGTACGTGACGACCAAGATTAACCAGCCTTGCCCAAGATCGCCACATCCGACTGCGCAACATACGTGAAGGAACTACAGCCACCTCAACCGCATCCGAAATACCCGGACTGTGCAGAATCTCCGTCCATAAAGAACGAAACCGTTTAAAAGCAGCAGGTCAACGAGCAAGACTGTTCGACGCATCCTATTGAGTCGACATCATCGTCAACAACGACTGCATTGATGTGGTCAACACAGGGTATAGCCTCAACTGCGATGGAGAGATGTCTGGTTCAGCGAAGAAGTGTGTTCGGCCCAAAATGTTGCGACTGTTGCGCGAGAACTTTTTCACTTAACTTGGGTTTCGTTAACACCTGTTTCATCATGAGTTTAATTGTATTTGTACTGTATTAAATGATACAAAATACACTCCATTTTGAACAAAGAAAAAATGGTCCCTTAGATTGATAATTAAAAAAACCAAAAACAGTCTGTTCTTACCATGCAGGTGGAGGTAGTACTATTAACTACCTCTACGATAATACGACACACCTTTGGTATAGTTAATATTTTTGAAAGGAATTGAAAGAAATTGACAGAACTGCATTCTCATTTACGCCTGCTGTCATATAATGATGCAATAACCATCAGTCCTTAAGTGATCTTAATGTCCTTGTTGTGTTCATCACAAATCCTTCATACACAGGTTTCATTTGTCATACTCACCCCCATAATACTGCCATCCACTCTCGAAAACACCTTCACTGCTCGAGTTTAAACCTTCAGAGAGCAGTCTACAAGTTCTTGAGAGGGGGTTGTACAAGACCAGGTTACACACCGCCCGCCACTGACACTGAGAGAAACACTCAGGCCTCATGTCCACCTGGTTGATCTCTTCTATCAGGCTCCCGGCAAACACCCGATCATCCATCTCAGACCTTCTGTGGAATGTCACATTTGTGCAACTGTCCATGTTGTACACAAACTGACAATGGATTTGTTGTAAACCTATAAATAATCCTAAGATGTCCACTGACTTCAGGAACACCATTGCTTCTTACTGGAATTAATAGTGTAATCTGCTACTGTGGAGTCACCTGGCTGTGTCAGTAGTAAGGAATGACACTCTCTCTCAGAGCTACATTATTCTACTTACGTTCACGATGTTAGCTCGGGGACATTGACACCAATGAATCCACGCATGACAACTTGATTTGGATTTTTGTATACATTTGGTCGGCTTGGCTTCGGCGTATTTACACAAACATCAACACTTGAAAAATATGAACGAGACTGTCAAACGAGACGAATCAATATTATATGGATTATCAATATAACCCGAAGGAAGCTCTTCTTGAAGATCCTTCTGAGATGCCGAGGAAATTGAACGAGAAGTTCAAATTAAGTGCATTTCCTTGTATACAACACATTATATACTTTGCAGTACCATTTTTCGCTTTAAACTGTAGATAATTCGGAAATAAAACCTTCCTCGTGTGCATCGCCGAGGTAGGGACCTTGGAGCATAGGCATAATAAATAGAGGTTTAACACTGCATGAGATTTGGCATTTCCATGCATGCCCTCATGTTTGAAATAAGCTGTGGAATGTTTGGATTCTATGCCCATAGGCGACATCACCTGTGAATAATAACATTGGCGTGTGCAACTATGCCTTTACATGACAAATGTCAGGAACGTGTGCCCTTAAAATGAATGAATTCCATGTATTCCCAACGGTGCTGGAACATAACGGAATGAATGCATTTCATCATGTATAAGTGTGAGTGACTTGGGTTTAACGCCGCTTTTAACAGTATTCCAGTTGTATCACGGCGTGTCAGCTTAATGTGGGAGGAAAGCCCGAAGTGATGCAGGCCTCAGACGTTTAGCACTTCGGTGAAACCCACGAGCACGGGGATGGTGCTGACAAACCTAGAAACATAATCGGGTCACAATCATAGGTTTCTGGCGTGCCCAAGGGACGCAACTCTTCACAGCCTTAGACGACTGGGCCACCCGTGCCCCCTCATGTATAAGTATTATACATGTTTGAAATAATGGAAATGAAAAGGACCATGACTGAAAAGTTACTATAGGTTTGGAAAGTGATGCAAATTGTAGTATTTTTTACACATATTATAATCACGATGAAATGGTATTGGGAATGTTTGTCCATCTTACATCTGTTACGAGTGAACCACTCAACAGTTTCCACACATAACACACAACCATTTTATAACTGGCAGTCTGATCAAGCTTCATATGCTGTGAGCTAACCAGGGCTTACATATAGACAATGTGAAGTGAAGTGTGTACTGTAAACAGCTTTATTTCTGACCGTTAAAATATTGCAAATACCACACCAAAGACAATACTGCGACGAGATATTTTTGCGAGTTGCCGTGTTGAGATGACCTCTCGATTACCAAAAAAATAGACAGTTTCTCTCCGAAGCTAGTTAATCTGAGTTGGCCGGAAAGTTGACCGGAAGGGATTGCGACCAATTATCAAATACGATAATTGACTCAACACAGTGTCATGACTTTGATTTTGAATGCAAACAAAATTGTTGACAAAATTGCAAAGGACACTGACGCAGTTAAGCGAGGTTCGAAGAAGGCAGAATTACTGTGAGGTAACAGTGACACTGACTGTTCTGTTTACACTGTCATTTGTGATGTATTGTGTGACCATTCTGTATTCAATTGTGTTTTTAACTTATTGAGTAACTTGTGGTTCTGTGGTTTCATCATTTAATGACGTGTTGCAATAAATAAAGTATGTATATATCATTTATACTTATGTTTGCGTTTTTAATTTTTGCGATTGAGTCTCGTTCGCAAAGCTCGCAATAATAAAACGGTCGCAAGAAAAATCCCTGTTTACAGTAATTGGTCAGTGTTGATCACTGGCAATCTGTACACAAGCAACATGATATATCAAAATGTATGACAATACAGTTCATCCAAACTAAGTACATTTAATTTATTCTTCATGACAAGAAAATATACATGTATAATGGATTAAAAGTAAACATACATATATACTGGATTCTCATAACACAACATATCTCTAAAGTTCCTGACTTTGCAATGAATTGGATATACTTTAGTATAATCGATAGTGTTTATGTCCATTGTAGCATCACATGAAACCACAATGCCGAGATACTCGTTCATTACGGAAGTGTTGCGTCATGACTTAAAGGCTGTAACACAGATTGTCCATGCATATTTTTTCGAATAAAACATCGTGTCCGAGCCGAGAAATCAAAAACGAAAATATGGAAATATTAACTCAGCTGTAAGTTTGACAACTTTCAGATACATTTTTGTTGATTGTATTTATAACTTTTGTATACTGTTTTGAAAAATTTGCTTGAAACGTCTTTATTTTGCTCTTTGACAAGTACAATGTGGATCCGTTGTCGAAGTGTTTCCGAAAATTTATTTTCAATAACATTGCTGGAAATAGTGAAGAATTTTTAAATTTATCGATAAAAAATGATTACTTAAAATGGAATGAGTATTTCAGACATTGTGAAATGTGACAGATTTACTAAATGAATCCTATGACAGGTAGGTTCATACAATTATTTACTTTTATGACGTGACTATGGTTTGGCCGTTGTTCCGGCCTATGGTGTTGAAAGAGTTAAGTAGATGGCTCGGAGATAAAACATACTTCGTGTGCATTGTAGAGGTAGGGTTCTTTACACTTTAGAGTTACTTTAGAATTGTAACACTGCATGAGATTTGGCATTGCCATGTATGCCCTAATGTTTGGAATAAGATGTCATGATTGTTGGATTCTATGCCCTTAGGCGAAATCGTCTTCGGGAAATTAAATTGGTTTGTGCAACTATGTCTTTATACGCCAAATGTTAGGAACCTATGCCCATAGAATGAATTATTTCCATGCATTCCAAACGGTGCTGAAACGGAATGAATGCATTTTCTGAGATCTGTTTTATACAGGTTTAAATAATGGAAATGAAAAAGACATGCCTGAATTGTTAACCAAAGGGTTTGAAAGTGACGCAGTAATAGTATCATTTACACATATTACAAACGTGATGTGATGGTATTGTGAATGTTTGTCCGTTATACAACATATCTCTAAAGTTCCAGACGTTGAAATAAATTAGATATCCTCTAGTAGTATCGATAGTGTTTATCCGCATTTGACCTGATATCAAACCACAGTGCCGAGCTACTCGTTCATTACGCAAGTGCTAGGTTATGGCGTGGAGAGGGCGTAATGTTATTGATGTTTTAGTCCTTAATGTCCATACTATATTTATTTTTGGGTCCTTCATTTCCAGAGAAATATCAATAATTATAACATGAATATTCCTAAAAAGATATCACCTACACTGGCACAACATTTCATTTTTTTTCTTTTTAGGCTATTTATCAATATTGAAATAATGTCGTCTTAAATGTAGATTCTATATTGGAGTAGGTTGGTGGCACTATATTCTGTAGTGTACACAATATGCTCTTTATTTTGTCTCAAAGACATCGGTGACAAATACAAATATTTGTTTTTGTGTCACATATTTGATAAAACAATACTCATAACGTTAACTCACCATCTTCAAAGTTTTGTGGGGGCACCTCACTTCAAATTGATGTATGTGTCATACATTATGTCTGCATTAACGTAAACGCAGCGGAAAATACATCTTCAATATATTATTAGTATGTATTTAGTACATATACCATTTACATTCGTGTTTTGTTTCTTGTTTGTTAGAATGTCTGGCAAATGATGCTCATGAAACAGTTCTCTTAACTGAACAAACAACAATGGGATTTTCCTCTTCTCCATCTACTGGGATAATTAAGTTCAGTTTATTTTGTACCGAAAAGGTAAGCGTCACCTGTTTCAAAGTTACAAGGAAGATGTACAGCTACATGTTTTTACGGAGAGTTTCCTTTACTATTTTTACGATTGAATGCAACAAGCTGAAGATAAAATATTGTTTAGAATTTTGCCTTCATGTAATTACTTGACACGTATTGTGTGTTCATGTCGTCGAGTATCATAAGTGAGCATACTGTTTATATATTTCAAGTATCTGAACAGACAACATACAGTTGTGAAATATGGTGGGGCGATGCTAAAGGAAAATCTTATCCGATCCATCGTTCCCTTTTTGAGACTCATTTGAAGATGCTAAATTGTTTAAGCTCGAATGAACATTATTTTCCCATTAATCATGTTTTTTTAATTAGTGACATTCTACATGGTATAAATGACGAATTAAGCAATGATTGGCCTTATCATAACATGTTCTCATTCTAAGTAGTGATATATAAGGCAATGTACACATTGAACAGAGAGAAGACAACTATTTTACAAAATTTACATCATGGCGCTACACATATATCATGTCGTTTTAGCTGGGCATCCACTGGCAATACGTTGACCAGTCTCATTAAATTCCTTGTATCATCTACATTTCATATTTACATTTTGATGCAAAATAACACACTGACGGTTTAGAGTGGGGCGCAACAATGAAACAATTGCCACCATAAAACATATCAGTGACTGACTGCGTATGCACTATATGTGGGTGTTACCTACGGACCCTATAAGAACTCTGTGAGGAATGTCAATGGAGCAGGATTTTATGACATTTTGTTGACCCAGATGTTAAGCTACTAATGCTAAAATATCAAATATATATGTGGAGACTTAAATGGAAGATGTGTAGATCTGTTAGATTATGTAGAAGGTATCCACTCTTTGCCTAAAAGCGAGGTTATCGATGCAAATATTAATAATCATGGGCGTGAACTGCGTGACTTCCTAATTAATGTAAATGTATGCATTGCTAATGGACGTAAAGGTGTGAATGATCATACATATGTTACCTCTAGGGGCGCTTCGATTGTTGATTACTGTTTATGTTGTTTGAAGCGTTAGATTATATCTCAGGTTATACGTCCTAACTTCTTGGTAGACAAGGCTAGGATGGTTGATGTCATAGACGCAGTAGCAGTGAGTAAGCTTGACCACTCAATATTTACCTGGTCAACAACATTTGACTCTTGTATAAGCAATACGAGTGTCGAACAGCCATACATTCAAGACCGTTACAATGTTAAATGTAATACAAAGTTTGTACACAGTACTTTCATGAGTACGTCTCAATGTTTTGATGCTCTCACCGATGTCATTTTAAAACTAGAAATATCTTATCAGGAACAGAGTGTGTCGACAGTGCTTTTATGTGTTTTAAAGAGGCAGTGGCAGCAGAGATGCACTCAGCATTATCAACAAGGCGAATCGTCAACAACTCATCTAGACATCACAAACAACAAAAAGCTACAAAACCATGGTGGGACGACAATCTCACAGCTTTTTGGATGATATCAGTGTTGGGGAACGCAAGTGGTGCAGGCAACGTGGTGTTCGACGTGTACATCTACGATCAGACTGCGTTCATCATCATGCTGTGTTTGACAAAGCCGTCAAGATGGCCAAACCAGAGGGCAGGGCTGAACTCTTAGGAGCCATAAGTAAACCCGGAAGTAGAGATTTCTGGAAAAAGATAGCAAGTATCATTGTTGGTGGAGAGAGGAACAAGCAGATTCCCATGATGGTACTTCAAAAGGTGGAACTATCTCTAAGGACAGAGTTGTTATCATGGAAACGTGGGCAAATGCATATTCAAAACTGATGAACAGCAACGCTTGAGAAAGTAGGACAGAGCATAGTGACAGTCAGGCGATGAAAGACTCTCCCTTAAATGAAGATATATCTGTCAAGGAGGTACGATGTGTGTTAATACAAGCTAGGAATGGTAAATCACCTGGTAATGACAGAATACCAGTTGAAGTATTAAATAATGACAACCATATTTTCTTTTTGAATAGACAGTTTAATATGTTTTTTAAACGTGGAATCGTAGCAGGTGATTGATCGAAGAGTATCACGAATCCAAAATCAAATACAGAGGACTCACGTGACCCTTTGAGCTACAGGGGAATAACACTTGCAAGTTCATCCTATAACCTGTTCTGTGGTGTATTAAACAATAGACTGGCTGAGCATGTAGAGCACAACCATCTTTTGTGTGAGGAACAAAATGGATTTCAAAAGAAGAGATCAACCCTTGACCACATCTTAAGCGTTACCTGTATTATTGAAAAAAAGGAAAATCATGAGAAAACAAACATTCACAGCCTTTATTGACTTCAAGAAAGCATATGATTGTATTGATAGACATCAGCCGTGGGAAAAATACAAAGTCTAGGAATAAAGGGGAAGATATACAACACCATAGTATCCTTGTATACATCCGTTTAGTCATGTGTTAGACTTAATCGAATGTGTACAGACCAAAATCAAAGGTAGTTCATTTCAGAACCCCTTCTGTCCAACGAACAACTCAAGTTTTCAAGTGCGGTGCTACCAATATCAACGTTGCTAACAGTAACAACAATTTAGGACTGTTGCCTACATACACCTGGATTACGTTAGGATGGTAAAAGCGGCGGCAAGCTCAGCCAATAGAGCTCTTGGTCTCCTGATATCGAAAAGTAAAATGCTACGATGTCTACGATATGGAACAGTTACGTAGCTCTATGACTCGATGGTCTGGGCAACATTAGAATACGGCCCGCCAATTTCGGGAACTCCTCATTTTCCAGCCATAACCACTGTACAGCTATTTTCTAAGATTAATGAAGTTTGTTCTTAACAGTGCAGTCTGTGGTGATATGGGATGGGAACCAATAGCCTGTACACAATGGACAGTGTGACGAGGAACTACGAGAGACTGTGTTGTAAAGAACCAACTTGGCGGACTGTCACGCAAATACGTAACTGGAATGTCCATGTTCATGCTAAGAACACTTCATTCCATTGGACAACTATTTTAACATCAAATATATTGTATCCGAAGCATCTGTCAAACACATGCAAATCTACTGGAAAAGTAAAGTGCAGCAGCTGCAAAGTCAACGTGGCAATGGAAGAAATTAACTGAGGATTCATCAACATTTTAAATTCATCCATGGAGCTGAGTAGTACATACAGTTCCCTCCCCTGGTCACAAAGAAGTTCACTGGCTCAACTGCGTTGTGGTGTAGTGCCTTTAAGAGTAGAAACAGGAAGATACGAAAAACTTGCCTTTGGAAGAGAGGGTGTGTTTTAATTGTAAAGAGTGTGTGGAACATGAATGTTATTTCTTGATACACTGTGCCCTTTATAATGAAATTAGAGCGCCATTATTAAGAATGTATTCAAGTCGATGATATTTTCAATGATTATTCTGACGTTTAAAAAGTGTCTTTTATTCTGTCTAAACCCGATGTAATGTTCTGAGCTGCCAACACCCGCAAACTTTTATTACATCAACGCAAATCTATTTTATATCATGGTATGTAAATTGTTGTTGCAAGTCGCAATTGTATTTTCATAATCCATAGACGGGTGACTATATGATGTTTTTTTTACCACGTCATTCATCTTAATATGAGGTGAATCTGTAAAAACAATCTGTTTGTCTGTCCATCAAATGTGATACAGAAATTTACAGCTAACTGCTTTAAAATTAGCGAATTTAGGTGTTTCATCTTCTTCAACACATTGCCTTCCCGATGTTGAATTCATGGAGGGCAGTGAATCCATCAAACTCGATACGTCGGACACCGCTGAGAGGAAAGCGGATTGGGTTAGTCATCCACAAAGTTCCATCGACGTACGTCTGGAAAATATAATATTAGATAACCTAGGGAACAATACATTGAAAACATGATTCGTTAGTGACATAATCTGGTAAGTTCTACTAATTCCTTAAATAAGGTGTATCTCAATACCTCACACACAACGACCATCCTTAAATCAAAACTTACTTGTGTAGATCAACAGTTAACACACTCAAGTTTCATCATCTGGAACCATCTCCGTGGACTAGTGGTCTAGCGGTAGAACGTCCGTCCGGACAGCAGAAAGTCTGAGGATCGATCCCCGGCAGGGTCATACCAAAATATGATACATGTTGTTACCCTGTCTGGCGCTCGGCATACAAAAGACTAAGACAAGGATTGGTCGGCTGGGTGGCAGTACACCGAGTCTGAGTTTAACAGCATCGATATCATTATTGCGGGCAAGTACTCGCAGCCTCACACACACACACACACACACACACACACACACACACACACACACACACACACACGTGCATTCACGTATCTATATAAGTGCAATAATATTGGACGCGACGTTAAACCTCTTTTCACCTCATCTCTTCTGCTCATGACATACATATTTCAACAGGTAACACTAACTGTTGGACTGTCATTCTTGTAGTTGGTGAGTAAGTAAGAAAACGTACAACTTTATGGATAACAACTTCTGGTTTATTGCATATAGTGACGTTTCGATGCAGGTTCTGACACCAAAGTCAGCAGTTAAGGCGTTTAAAGAAGTGTAAACATTTAACACACCCATACCTCCTTCTGCTCAGTGACACATGACAATAAACCTACCAGGAAAGACGTCTCTGTTATGGATATCTCAATCACATAGTTGTCGGAACTCTTTGGGATAAAGTCGGTCCGAAACTCAGCACCCCATGCGTTTCCTTGACGAGTGTTGAAGATAATTTTATAGAATCCAACGTAGGGATAGTCCCACCTTAATGACAACTGGTAGACAACGTCTTGATTGGGAAGCATCAGCCACACCTGGTTGCTGCAGTACAAGGATATTCACTTGTGAGCTTGCAAGTGGTGGTGGACATGGGTTCAGTGTAAGGATATTCAGTTATTGTGACAATTTTGTGTTTGTTTGAAAACAAAAAGGTTCATCTGTTCGCCACGAATACTGTTATTGTGGTTGATATGGCGTCAAGCAATAAGCTTTCACTCACGCATGCACTCAGACACTTACAATCGTGTTTCACTTCCGGATACTCTGAACTTCAATGTCATTCCAAAGTCGAGATCAAAGTCCAGATTTTCCACGTAGGAGACCGTTGGATCCTGAGATTATTACAGAATGGTTATCGTCCTAATTGTGACATTATCACATGCACAAAATAATTTGTCAATGAAACTGTACCAAATATTTTGTCATTTGAAATATGACGATTATGGCGATGAATGTCATGTTTCCCAAACAAAATGATCAATGATAAGCAATTGTCATATTAACCATCCCAATAATACCCATATTATTATTTAACCCGAAACAGTTGGCAAAGCAACTGTGCCAAGAATGAGTAATAACATATAGTTGGCAGTTGTACTTACTATGATAAAACTAACTGATAAACAAGTAATAGTCAAGTAAGGATAAGAAATCATGGATGAACAACTTCTTACACAATTATCACTTCACTTACACCGAATCGTCGCTCTTAATTGTAATAAAGAAGTTGTTCATCCATTAATTCTTATCCTTACTTAGTACTCTAACTTCTAAATGCCTACCAAAGTAGTAATAGTCAAACCCTTCACCAACAGATGCCATTCTAGCCTTACCAGGCTCACCACACTAATAAGATTGTTTCATAAGAATGTAATTTTTATCATATCTTACCAATGACGGACGGACATCAAGACAGTCGACATAGCGACTATGTCAAGAATGGTAAGTAACCCTACTATGCTCAAAATGAAATATGATCAACCAGTAATAGTCAAACCCTTCATCAAGGGATTTGTAAGAATGTCAACTTTATCATATCTTACCATCGACGGACGGGCAGCAAGACTATAACACGAAAGACACTTTATTTTTACTGTTTTCCAGGATGCTCCTCTAAAACAGGAAGAGGAAATGTCAGACGTTGAATAGTAGCTGCTCTTGCACATCTCCGCTGGGTCTGTGTCGATGACGTCGACGCCCTCCCGGCTATTTGCCAATCTGTAGTCATCGCAGGCAGCTGTGGGGGAGGAGCAGAACTTCGAGCTTCTGATGTAATTATATAGCAACTATACGTTATGTATAACCTGTGCCAAGTCAGGATTGAATTTTGTTTTGCACAACAAGATTGGGGAAAAAACTCGACATTTTGAAATGTGTCATCTGTCGCTCAAGAAACAGCACTTCCCTGCATTGATGGCGGCCATCACAAACTCTTGTCTGGTTGTTACCTGATACCTCCTTCTGTTTCGCTACTGACAAAATTAATATCTACCATGATTTGTGCTACTGTTGCCTCCCCACATGCCAACAGGCTGACTTTGTCACGTCGACAACCTTGGTATCCATCGTTACATGAACAGGGGAAGGTAGTGGTATTATGTAGCTGCATCATTTCTTACACTGTCTCGGATCATTTCTATTGGATCTTTTTCACGATGTTAAGGTTGTGCACGTGTGACGTAACCTTGAATTTTATTTGTCACATCAACTTGTTTAACAATTAGGAACTGATGTGTGTTACTTATCAAGTGTCATTGACCCAGCAAGAAAATACATGACATGCATTTAGACTTAAGTAAAGCAATGAGATACCTTACATAATGTTAACCCACAGCTGGGACATTGGGGCAAATCGTTACTCACACTGAGGAGTGTTTATTGCTCTAGTCATATCTGTTTTCAAATTTAAGCTGTATTAAAGAAGTAGTTCCAATAGGTTACGGTTAGGTGCATCGAGTATCCTGCTTTCGAAATCGAAATTTATCTTTTTTAGAATGGGTGTTCACAGCAACTTTTCCGTTGTTTTACTTTGCTGAAGGGACCCGTGAAGATCTGGGGTAGAATAGGTCTTCAGCAACCCATGCTTACCATAAAAGCTGACTTTGCGTGTCATAAAAGGCGACTAACGGGATCGGGTGGTCAGACTCGCTGACTTGGTTGATGCAGGTCATCGATCCCAATTGCGTGGATCGATGCTCATGATATCAACCACTGGATTGTCTGGTCCAGACTCGATTATTTTACAGACCGCCGTCATATAGCTGTAGTATTGCTGAGTACCAATTAACCAACTTTGCTGAAGGAAAACGTGAAACGATGTTTCCTTTGACATTTGATGTGTTCCTATACTGAAGTTGGTATCAGATTTACAGATATGTTTCATATCTTGCATGAAAAAGAAATATATATAAACATTTTCCATAATCACAAGAAATCAATTGTACGAATTCGCATGTTATTGTGAATCACTATTAAATAGTAATGATTCCATGTGTTCCCCATAACAAAAGAGCGCGTGTCCTGCTTCAGCATTTATTTGTAGACTTTCTAAAGATTGTGGATTTACCTTCACATATATCAATTGATATCGCATTGAGAAAGAACAGCACGAAAACAAGAAAACTCTTCCGAAACACATGCACAGGCAGTTAATTGTTTACCCTGTTTTCAGATCGAAATGTTATTTCACCCCAATCTCAACCCAGGTAATACTATTCTTGGCCTGCACGCATCAACTGTTGCCCTATCAGAAATACCAACTCTATTTACGCTACCACAATACAGCATTCATTTCAAATCTACAAATAAGTACATACCATATATGTAAAATGTTAATACAATTTCTAGCAATTGGACATCACATGAATAACAGATGCTGCCAGACGCTGCACAACTCTGCTGCTGCCACACGTCAAGCAAATGATCTGCATTCTCTGATTGAATAAAAATTATCTTACATGTTCTTAAACTAACACACTCGAAACAGGCACGTGAAAAACACAAACCTCAAGCTCAACATAGTCATTGTCAAATGTAGACACACTTTTTTATAAATAACCTTCTCTCCTTATCAATAAATAAAAGCTACAAAACCCTTATATATAATTATTCTGTATAAGGAGTCAAATTAAAAACTTCACATTTTTAAAAGTAATCCCACATATGATATACAACGGACAGATGTATCAGAGAAGGTAATTTTTAATCATTAATGTCCAAAGAAGGATTTTAATTAACGGTGGTAACCATAATTGGTTCCAAGCACCTACGGTATTCCGTAATAACATCAACAGTTTAAATCATAAGTCCCAAGCACGAAAATCTGATGGCACACAAGTTCAGTAGCGTGTATGGCCACCACGTGCGTTGACAACTGCCACACAACGCCTCCGCATGGACCTTGTGATGCTTGTGAACACATGATTGGGAAGACGACGCCATTGCTGCTGCAAAATGGTGCCAAGATCTTGCAAATTATGTGGTTTGTTTTGGAGAGTGCGCAGACTTCTGCCAAGAGCATCTCAGACGTGTTCGATGGCATTGAGGTCGGGAAACCTTGACAACCAGTCCATGCCGTTGACTCCCGCAATCTGAAGGAAATTCCTTGTCAAAATTGCTGTGTGGGGTCTGGCAATGTCGTGTTGTAAGATCAAACCGGGTCCATGTGCTGCCATAAAAGGTGAAAGTTCTGGTGCCAGTACCTGGTCGCGGTAAGCAGCAGCGTTGAGGTTGCCATGGATGACAAGAAGCCTGGAACGTGCGTTGCCACAGAAAGCACCCCACACCATGACACTTCCGCCTCGAAATCTGTCATCTTCCTGTAAACAACACTGGGCGTAACGTTCATGACGGCGCCTCCACACACCCAACCTACCATCAGCAACTCGAAGATTAAATCAAGATTCGTCACTGAAGACGACTTGATTCCAATTCCTCTGAGTCCATCGTAAGTGTCGTTGTGCCCACAATTGACTTTGACGCCTCTGTAATTGAGTCGGAATCGGCCCGCAGTATGGCCGTCGTGCTTGAAGGTGAGCAGTTCTTAGACAGTACCCAACAGTTTGCGCACTCAGTCTGCCCCTAAACAGTTCATTTATGGTTGATGTAGCCGTCAAAAATCGGTTACGGAGGTGACGTAAGACAATCTGATGATCCTCTGCATGTGACGTCACTCGTGGTCGACCTGGCCGAGGGCGATCAGCGGTGGTACCCGTTTGCTGTAGACGCGTCTGTAAATCATAAACAGTCAGTCGACTACAACCCATCGCCCTTGCGACTTCAGCTACGGACGTTCCCGTCTGCAACAAGCCGATGGCACGTTCACGTTGTACATTTGAAAGGCGTGGCATGACAAATGGCCGTAAAGACTTTTGTTTTCTTGTGTTTTTCTTTTTTTGTTAATGACTGCTAACAAGAATGGCTGCAAACACGTGCGGTAGTATGGCCACGTGACCAGTTGCACGTGAAAAAACACTTTTGCCACTATAGTGCTGTGCACAAAAACGGGTGTTATCTGAAGACAATACGCGGCCATTACTGTTTAAATACACAAAAAGGGCCCACAATGATAACTGGTCACAATTTTAAAATTTTATGATTGTGAAGTTTTTAATTTGGTTCAGTATACATTATATTTAGCGAGCCTTGGCGAGTTACATACATAGTGTTTATTCCTAATATAGGACATTTACCATCCCCAAACACACAAGCGTGATAACCTCTGTATAATATAATATCATTCTTCAATTCTGTGCTCGAAAATCTCTTCCCATCTCTCACAAACATTACTTAAACATTGAAAGTTTTCCTGGAATGTAGGTCAGAGGGTAAGTGATGTGTCAGTCGGACAGTGGCAGTAGCCGAAATAGTTCCAACTGAAACTACCCTAACCCTAGTCTTTGAGACGTCACGTCCACAGCCAGACATTGACAGTCGACCTGTCCTGTCATAACGTTACGCAGTGCAGGCAGATGTACAAACAGCAGCAAGACGAAACATATTAAGGCCAAATCAAACTGTTTTAGTTTGTGAAACAGGTTCCAAGCCGCAGAGGTCTACAAGCACAGCTATGGAAACTGATCCCGCTTGTCTAGTGTCCTCCATAAAAGACAAAACTATTAACAAACCTTAGCTACGTCACAGTAAAACACTGATTGTCAGTTAATTAGACTTTATGTTTATAATGATAGCAATTATTCTAGAAGTTTCTCAAGATACACGAGAGATAATTTTGACATGATCGCCGAATGACAAGGGCGACCGGTTTTTTTTACCCCATGTGTGTTATGTAAACACTGAAAGAAGTCCCTATTTGACCTTTAATATTTGCATCTCTCTCCACGTATGCCACCAACTGAGGTTGGTATCCGTTGGCCTTATCCTGCCGGGAAACCGTGCTATCACATAACAAAGACGTTTGACGTCAAGTTACTCCCGCAAAAGAATCCCTGTGTGCAGAGGGTACACCAATATCTTATTTTTCTCAAGATAGTTCGTAATGTAATACAAGCATTATACAAAACAGTTCAGCATACATGTCCACTTTCAGTTAACCAGCCATCTAAAATCTGCAACCATTTCATAAACAGTTATACATGTAAAAATGGGACTTTTCAGAAAATGAGTCCAACTGTCATGATGTCATGTATTTCTGTAACATATATACATGTATATATGAAGCTTATAAATTGCAGTTTACCGGTCCTAAGATACTGTTTTTAAAATATATATAAGTCAAGAGGTGATTTCTGACCCTAAAGGTCCCTTATGTCATGGTTTGTCTGAAATATGTCTGAGCCTCAGAGATTATTTATTGTTTATTTATTGGCCCAAAAAGTTGTGACAGTTGCGCGAGACACTTTTTCGCTTTGATTTGGGTTCTTTTAACACCTGTTTCGTCGTACGTTTAATTGTATTTAAACTTTTCAGACATTTTTTAAAGGCAAAAATACACTCAAATCTAGATATGAATAAATGACCCTTTATATTGTTAATTTGGAAAGAAATGACGAGAGCGGTTCATCTTTCACTACAGGTACTACTAACTGCCTTGACGACTATATGATACACCTTTCATATCGTTTGTATTTTTGAAAGGAATTGAAAGAAGTTGGCAGGATTGTATTTGCATTTACGTCTGCTTAAAAAAATGATGCAATACCAATCAATCCTTATGTTGTTTTTTATGTCCTTGTTGTGTTCATTACAAATCCTTCGTACACATTGAAACTCACCCCCATAATACTGCCATCCGCTCTCGAATATACCTTCACTGCTTAAGCCTTCAGAGAGCAGTCGACACTTCCTAGTGAGCGGGTTGTACAAGACCAGGTTACACACCGCCCGCCACTGACACTGAGAGAAGCACTCAGCCCTCTTGTCCACCTGGTTGATCTCTTCTATCAGGCTCCCGGCAAACACCAGATCATCCATCTCAGACCTTCTGTGGAATGTCACATTGGTGCAACTGTCCATGTTGTACACAAACTGACAACGAACTTGTTCTAAAGCTATAAAAAATCCTAAGATGTCCACTGACTTCAGGAACACCATTGTCTGTTACTTAAATTAATCGTGTAAGCTGCTACTGTGGATTCGTCAGGCTCTCTTAATAGTATGGAGTTACACTCTCTCTCAGAGCTACGTTTTCCTTACTTACAATTACTCTTTACTTAGGTTCACTCTGTTAGCTCGGGGACATAGACACTAATGACATTACGTCTGACTACATAATTTCAACGTGTGTATACACTGGTTGACTGGTCCTTGGCGTATTTACACAAACATGAAAAAAATGAAAAATATGAACAGGAGACTGTCAAGAGAGACGAGTAAAAACTTTATGGATTATCAATATAAGAAAACCCTTGCTAAATGAAGGATGCCGAGGGACTAAACGAAACAATTCAAGTTAATTGACTTTCCTCGGTAAAATACAACACATAATATACTTTGCAGTACCATTGTATATAACTCTTTCAACACCAGTCATCCAGGAGCATTTACTGCTGTGACACCGAGTTCCCACCGAGTTGTGTGATAGATGAAGCCAACATTTATCAAAGAAAATATCTGCTTGTAAACATCTTTGCTCTTACATGTTATACACCATTTGAAAGGTCTGATTCTATTGTTTATAAATATAAAAGTTATGTTTATCACATTATTGAAATAATGAATTTACAACTTAATTAAATGTAACGCATTCATAAAGTCCAGATTAAGGAACAAGGAAACGAAAATTTGACCAAATAAAATTTCATAAAATCCACCTGTCTATTTCATTTTTTACTACTACATACTACTAACACATAACCTGTCATGTAAATCAAGTATTGAAAAATTGTTGCCAAAAAGCAAGACAAAGTATGAATTCGTTAAAATCTGTGGGACTCAACAGTTCTGAGCTACATCCAGCTACCAGTGTAAATATCAGGTTAAGAATGATATTAAAAAAACGTTTTTACGTCTGCGAACTGCTCTTTGATATTAAGGGTCAAAACATTAATGTCATTGAAAATACTCAATGCTATTTCGCACGAACTGTACAAGGACTTGATAAAAGATCTCCATCAGAATCCACTATTGCTAATCTTGGGCTTTGGACAATGATCGGCTATATCGATAAGTGTAAACTTCAGCTGCTTGGCCGCTTATGTAACTTAACCTGTAACAATTTTGTTAAACATATTTTTTGTGCATACATGGCAAATCCAACTAATCCTAAATATGTATATGGAGATTTATTATCAGTTCTTAACAAGTAAAGCCTACGAAACAACCTTTGTACATATGTAAGCTGTGGTGTATTTCCTACAAAGAGAAACTGGAAGCAACTGGTTAATAAAACCATTGAATATGAAGAAAATATGTGGCGCAGAAAAGTTATTGTCAATGCAGGTCTTGCACGCTTCATGCTAATACACACAAAGCTTACTCACCATATATTATGGCAACTAGTATATCTGTACCCAGAGCAGAGGTCAAGTTTAACATTTTGTGTTAGAGTTTCATCACGAAACAAAACTTCCAGGGACTGTTTATTGTGTAACAAGCATGCCTTTGATTATGATAATCACATCATATTACATTGTGAAGCTCTACTGCAGGAAATAAATGAACTGTTTTCAACTTTTATTGCTCTGCTTGATGTTGGAACCTATGTCCAGTTGGAATCACAAGATGAAGAAGTTATGTTGTCATTTTTCTTTGGTGCTGATATTCACTTCTCACAATGCATGATATAGTTACATGGGAATCTGTTATACTGATATTTTCTGCTTATGTACTTACACTAAAGCCTTACCTTGATTATGTCATCTGATCTAACCTTTTGTACTGTGTGAATGGCATGACACTGGTGCCACTGTCTTGTATTGTATATATGTACAGGTAATATGAGTTGGGGGAATATGTTTGATTAATTATGTATAATCTTCGGATTCACTTCTGGAGGAAATAAAGAATCTCTCGTCGCCTAGGGTCCTTTCGTAATTGTAACACTCGCTTTAATTGGATAAAAATTGGTTTCTGCTGAAGATTTCTTGTTGAAATCTGCTACAAGCTTCGTGATTGGTCAAATTTGAGCATGTGAACTGAGGCAGCCATTCAATTCAGAGTACCGTCCTCATGTATGATGAATTTCAGATTTTTGCTAATACGTGTTATTCTGAACGTTTTAAGCAGGAAATCGCGATCTATATTAAACATGTGGAGCTTTGTGGGTGTATCGTACTAGGTTACGAGCTGCAACAAAGATTTCTCATGCATATATTTTCGCTTAAAACATCGTGTCCGAGCTGAGAAATCGAAAACGGAAATATGGAAATAATAACTTAGCTGTAAGTTTGACAACTTTTTGACATATGATGGTTGATTGTATTTATTACTTTGTATACTCTATTGAACGATTTGCTTGAAAAGTCTTCACTTTGCTCTTTGACATGTACAATGTGGATCCGTTGTCGAAGTGTGAGCCCAAGAAGTCTCTTTTCAATAACATTGCTGGAAATAGTGAAGAATTCTTTTAAATTTATCGATAGAAAATGATTAATTGCAATGGAATACGTATTTCAGATATTGTGATAGATATAATAAATGAATCCTATGACAGGAATGTTCATGCAATTAAATACTATTTTGATGTGACTACGGCTTTGCGCGGTCTACCGGCCTACAGTGTCTGGGGACTGGAGGCTTCATGGCCAGTGTTCTGGCCTACGGTGTTGAAAGCGTTAAGTAGATGGCTCCGAGATAAAATCACCTCCGGCAAATTAAATTGGTATGTGCAACTATGTCTTTATACGCCAAATGTTAGGAACCTATGCCAGTTGAATGAATTATTTCCATGTATTCCAAACGGTGTGGAACGGAATGAATGCATTTATGAGATCAGTTTTAAATAGGTTTAAAATAAGGGAAATGAAAAAGACATGCCTGAATTGGTACCTTAGGGTTTGAAAGTGACGCAATGAAAGTATCATTTACACATATTACAAACGTGATGTAATGGTATTGGGAATGTTTGTCCGTCATACAACATATCTCTAAAGTTCCAGACGTTGAAATAAATTAGATATCCTTTAGTATTATCGATAGTGTTTATCCACATTTGACCTGATATCAAACCACAGTGCCGGGAAACTCGTTCATTACGCAAGTGCTAGGTCATGGCGTGGAGAGGGCGTAATATTATTGATGCAGTGTTTTTTTTATTTTTGTATCCATTTCTAGACAAATATCAATAACTATTACATAAATATTCCTAAAAGAGATCTTGCCTACACTGGCATAACCTCTCTTACCCTGTTTAGGCTATTTATCAATATTGAAAAAATGCCACTAGCATAAACGTCTTAAATTTATTTTCTACATTGGATTAGGTTGGTGGCAACATATCCTACATTGTAAACAATATGCACTTTATGTGGTCTAAAAGACATTGATAACGAATACATATATTAGCTCATATCATAAACTCATTGTCTTCAAAGTTTTGATGGAGCACCTCACTTCTAATTGACGTATTTGTCATACAGTATGTCTGCATTGACGTAAACGTAGCAGAAAATACATATTCACTTTTCTTCATTATGAGAGAATTTCCATAATCACAATGGTTGTATAACATATACATTCCTCAACATATGGCATAACGGATATCTTTTTTCGTTTTGAATTTTGAAAGAATGCGTAATCGTCTCAAATTAAGATTTTGTATTGGAGTAGGTCGGTGGCACTTTATCCTACATTGTAAACAATATGCACTTTATGTGGTGTAACAGACATCGGCTACGAAAACAAATAATCCTTGCTTTTGTGTCGTATATTTGATAAAACAATACTCAAATCGTTAACTGATATCTTCATTAACCAAAGCTCTGTTGAAGCACCTCACTTCTAATTGACGTATCTGTCATGCATAATGTCTGCATTAACGTGAATGCAGCGGAACATACCTATTCAATATGCTATTAGTATGTACTTCGTGTTTTGTTTTTTGTAAAATAGAATGTCTTGCAAATGATTCTCATGTAAAAGAATGGGATTTTCCTCTTCTCCATCTGCTGGGATAAATATGCTCAGTTTATTTTGTACCGGGAAGGTAGTCGTCGCCTGCTTCAGAGTTACAAGCAATATTTTCTTTAAACTATCAGGAAGATGTTACAGTCACATATATTTACTGAGTGAGAGAAAGAATTAAATATTATAAATGTTATGATTATACAAACTCTACCATGTGAAACGCTAATATCCCCATCAAAATGAAATGTGTATTTAAGATTATTGTTTGATTAATATATGATGTATAACACATTGAACCTCACAATAAATACTGGAACATCTCTTTGACTGAACACTGATTCACGGAATTCTCCCTTCTAATTTAAGGATAAGAACACGTCTTGTTATCTCACAAGTAACGGGGTAACAGTAATGGGAAATACGGCAATGTTATCAGACAGATAACAAGACAACTAGTTTACATATTTCACTCATGGGAACTACTCATATGTTTTCTTAAGTCAGTGTGCTTGTGACAAAGTTGGGCATCCACTGACAATGCGTTGGCCGGGTAGAAAAGGGGATATTTTCACGAGTGGCGTATCCTTTTCCCCTTCATTCGATAAGAGAATCATGATATTTCACTCGACATATGAAATACCCTCTGTATGATGACGAAATAACTTATTTGTGATGTTGTTTTGGAACCTCTAGCCATTCCGGAATCAACCACCCACTCCGCAACACCCAACCTACCCTGAACCCTAGTCAAGGAGACGACTGATACACCATCACCTTATCGCACTAGATCAGAAACAAGGAGGACTTTTCATCATTGTGATTTGTTTGGGAAATAATGTATGAGCGATTTTAGGAAATAATTTGTATTGTGAAATACAGCAAATATTTTCAGATGAATTGATGAATAACTTGTGTCAAATATGGTGGGTTTGTTGCCCTGAAAGTAACGGTTGCTGTTTATCTCCACCCACGATCATGTATTGTGGTTGAGTCACAATATGAATATTGAATATGAATAGTTATTAATGTTTCAACCTCCTTACACCTGTAAATCCATACTTCACTTTCTTCCAAAACATACCTAGTGCATTGTTAA